TAGCAAACGATCAGGGCCTCAATATGATGAAGCTCCTCCTGGACCGAGGCGCCGACGTCAACGCAAAGGACGCAGTCGGTCGTAACGCGCTACATACCTGGCTGCATTTTGGCCTGCCGAGTGTTGAAGAGGTCAAAATGCTTCTGGATCACGGAATCGATGCCACCGTTTGTGATGATCTTCAAGCAATGTCGCCATTGCATCTCTATTCAGCCCGTGGCGAAAGTACAGAGGTCTTTCAGATCCTTCTCGACAATGGGGTGGACATAAACACGGCTGACCCACAGTATAAATTTACACCACTAATCATGCTAATGATGTTCAGAGAGAAGCTATCCCCAGACCTGCTGCGGTGGTTCCTTGACAAAGGAGCAGATCCCAACGCCGAGGATGCATCGTCGAGTCGACCCTTAACCATTGCAAGTGCCTGGGGACAAGCGGAAAACCTCAAGATCCTCCTCGATGCCGGAATAGATGAGATTGATGACACAGATACTGACGGATCTACCGCGCTCCAAAACGCCGTCTTCTTCAACCGACCAGAGATAGTCCAACTTTTGCTGGAAGCAGGAGCCGATGCAGAGAAGTTGGACACTCTAAACCGAACTTGTCTTCATACAGCAGTGAGAAGAGGAAACATGGATTGCACTCGTATCCTCATTGAGCACGGCTGCAACGTCAATCCCAAAGACAAACATGGCTGGACTCCTTTCTTTTGTGCTCTCCTAAGCAAAGGCGAGGGAACTCATCAAACCGCCAATTTTATCTTGGAAGCTTTAATTGCTCAGGGAATCCCTTTTCCAGAAATCAACCAACCAACTCGAAGTATTCGGACTCCTCTTCGTCAAGCAGCGACGAGAGGTTTCTCTGACATTATGGAGAAATTAATCTCCCTTTCCACAGACGGTGATGACGCTTTGTCCGCTCTAGCAATCAATACCCCGGACACCAAAAAAAGAATGACTCCTCTCCATCGCGCAGCAAGAGGCGGCCATTTATCCTGCGTGCAACTTTTACTCTCAGCAGGTGCATCCCCTACTCTCTTGGACTCGCAAAACAAAACCCCCCTTATTCACGCATACGAACAATGGTCCATTTCTTCTTCCACTGAATACGAATCCATCAGTTCTCTTCTTCTCAATTCATCACCGGCTGAGGCAGCCAACGATCGAGAATTAATTTCAGTTTGCGCATCCAAGGCATCATTTTCTCTCCTACAAAAACTATACTCGCTCAACGCAGACTTGACCAAACCAGATAAGTTCGGTTGGACACCATTAGAGCTAGTTCCTACAGGTTCAGAAGCGGAACAATTCCTCAAGGGTCAAGAAACATGGGGAAGTAAATTATTACCTTCTGCTTGGTCTACGGAGTTTCCTGGGGTTTCGAATATGCTGAGGAAGAGTGTTGATGGTGAGACGAGGATTTGTCATACAACAGGAAAAAAGGGATGGATTACGGCTGATAGAGGATTACCGCCTAGATTGGGGGTTTATTATTTTGAGGTTGAGGTTGTTGAAGTACTTGAGGAGGAAAAGAAAAAGAAGAAGGGGAGCAAAACTGGAGTTGAGATGAAGTTGCCGCCTAAGATGTCTATTGGGTTCTCCACGGTGCCTGGGACTGGACTTGGGAATGGGGAAGAAGGAAGTAGTAAAGTATGGTGTTATTATTCTTCTGGGAAACTATCTGGGTCGGGTACTGAGGAACAAGAGGAAGGAGAGGAGTTTTGGGAATATTTGAGAGCGTATGATGTAGGGGATATTGTTGGTTGTGGAGTTGATTTGGAAAGAAAAGAGGTTTGGGTTACTAGGAATGGAAAGAAATTGGATAGGGTGATGAAGTTGGGGAGTGAAGGGGGTGTGAAGAGGTTGTTTCCGGTTGTTGGGTTGGATGGGGATGAGGTTTGTTTGGAGACGAATTTTGGGAGGTGGGCTGGGGGGAAGGAGTTTTTGTGGAAGGAGGAGAGTGAAGCTGAGGGGGAAGGTGGGAAGGAGGAGTAAAAAGGGCGGCCGAGGTACAGTTTGGGTTTGACTGTTGGAGTTGACTTGGTTTGTTGGGGTTGGTGCGGAGAACCGAGGTTGGCATTTGTAGTTTAGAATACCACCATGGAGATACACTAGAAACGTTATGAATATCTATCCGTACTAGCGCTTTGAACCTTGGTCTTGGTCCTGTAAAATCCTTTAGGTGGTGATTAGACTTGAATGATTGGCGGAATAACAATTCCATATCCCATGATTAGGTTTTCGCATCTTTCTTGCTTTTTACCTTCCAACCAAACAACATACCATCCTCGCAATAGGGACTGGGTTTCATTGCATATTGTTAGCTTATGACTTGGTCATGTGTTCAAGACTTTGAGAACTGACCGGCAAGGATCACAATATTTTTCTCCTTTTGGTGGTTCACAACACTCGCCTGGTTGTTGGCATGCTCGCGCTGCCTCAATACTGGTCTTGCAGATGCAGGACATACTGGAATCCTGGATTTGCCTCTGATCAGTTGCAATTTAATTAAACTTGCACTTGACGTTTTTTTAATGTTGAGAGACTTGATGGGTTTGGCTGTTCATGTTAGAAATGGAACCAGGTTTATAGCTTGTTTAAAGTTGAACAAGAACTGACTGGTGCACCTTGAGTTGTGCTCGGCCACGTCAATATCTTGTAACCCCATGTTGAGTCAATTGTGTTTGTAAGACTAGGTTCATCAGAGAAAGCGTCCTGGTTGTCCCTCGCAGTCTCACAAAGCCATGCCTTGTACGGTGCACAAAGTGCCGATGCAACACCAAGTTCCCCATGGCAATAAGACTTACTGACTCGAGGCATCTCATGACACTTCTCCTGGTCACTTGGACGACAATGCCGTGCTCTCAATTATCACCAGCCGAGGTAAGTCTCAACCACTGCTTTATCCACAAACCAAGTTGAAGCTCAAGTCTTGATGAGTGGATTACAACAACCAAATCGGGATCTCTTGCGAATCTTCCATCCCTACCTATTATTTCTTTTGTAGTCGGCAGTTGGAACACGCCCAGAACCCAGTGACACTCCGAGTCTGCATAAGAAAGCGATTGACCAATCGCATCCCCAGTAAATCTCCCAAGGGATCCAGAAAGGGGGGTCCTCCGATGAAACCTACCCCAAGGTCTTGGCGGTGGACGATTCAAGATCCCCGTACCTGAGACAACCATCACCAAAGAAAGAGGGGGGAAACAAACGCCCTCATTCCCAACTTGGGAAAAGTTTGCGATCGACGATACTGCGATGATCCATGTGGTCGGTCCTTTAGAAGGGCCAAGATTCACCTTGATGGCTATGTTTAGTCGTCAGAGGTGTCAATTTTGTGCCAAGAGATGTCTGTTCGCAGGACTTCCCCCTACCCACACATCGTGGTTTCCCATCTGAATCCTGCTTCACACTTGAATTCGTATTATTTGGCAAGCTAAGGACAAAGATGGTAGAGTTCGCGAATGCCGAGGATGTGAAATGAGAACATCTTCAAGTATAAAGACTCAGTCTCTGGAAGGAAAGATGTAGACATTATTCTCAGCATCAACACAATCAACTCTCATCACATCCCAACTCAATACAACCCAAACCAACAGCTCCAAAGCGGTTTAAAACCTTCACAATGAAGTTCACTTTTGCCCCCGTCTTCCTCGCCGCGCTGGCCGCCGCCTCCCCCGTCGAAGTCCGTCAACTTTTCGACCGCGTCGGCACCACCGCCAACGAGTTCACTGAACGCGGCGGCGGCTGCCGCGACATCATCATGCTCTTTGCCCGCGGTTCCACCGAAATCGGCAACATGGGAACAATCTGTGGTCCTCCCACCGCCAACGAACTCAAGGATCGCTTCGGAGCCAACAGGGTTGCCGTCGAAGGCATCGACTACCCTGCTCTCGTCTCAACCAACCTTCTTCCCGGAGGAGCTGATCTCGGTGGGATTCGCGAGATGAAACAACTCATCGCTCAGGTTACCAATCAGTGTCCCAATTCCAAGTTGGTTGTCGGAGGATACTCCCAGGGAGCGGCTTTGACTCATCGTGCTGTGGAGGATTTGCCTCAGGTGCAAAAGGATAAGATTGTTGCTGCTTTTACTTTTGGCGATACCAAGAATCTGCAGGTAAGATAAGACATCCGTCTTGAATAAAATATTGGATGTAACTGACAGTAAAAAACAGGATCGTGGTCAAATCCCCAACTTCCCAAGGGAAAAGACAATCATCATTTGCAACGTTGGAGATGCAGTCTGCAATGGACTACTTACTATTTTGCCTCCTCATTTGGATTATAGGAGACGCACGGATGAGGCTGTGGACTTCATCACTCAGAGACTTCGGGCTGAGGGTGTGGTTCCTAGGAAGTGAGTTTGGGGTGGGGGGAAAGAGGCGGGAACCTCGAAGGGATTTTCATGACGGCTGAGAAATGATTCATGTATTTAACGGGATTTTTTTGGGGCTGGATCTTCAACTCCACATCTGGATGTTGGATAACATGATTGGGCAAGGATGGGGTTGGTTTTATCAGGGCTTTGTTTGTGCCGAGGATTTGCTTGGTAGTCTTTGAGGGAACGACAAATTAAGTGTGATTTCTGCCTCGTTATCTCTGAGTGATTTATCATTTCAGTTGTGTATCACAGACATGATATTGATATTATGAGGAATTTTAATCATAGCGGAAAGTAATGATTCTAGACATTACTTGCGAAAAAGCAGAGAAATAAAAGAAGGATGTCTCTTCGTACAATATGGTTTGCCACCTCCCACAATACATAAATTATTTCCAGCAGCCATTCCATCTTTTAATAACCTCTATAAAAAAGGAAACACAGATTTTCGATTATAGAAAGGCATAAATTATTATTTTAAGGAAGTTTCTTGAAATATAATAAATAACAAGATTAAAAAATGCCATTTTAAATAATGTTTTGGCATTGTGGGAGGTGACAAACCGCATTGTATGACGAGATATTCTTGAAAAAAAAAAGATTAAAAAAGGAAGTGTCCGCGATCGGATTTGAACCGATGTCTTTCACTGCCGTAACTCTATTCGCTGGGAAAATCAAACGCTGAGAAGAAGTATCAAATGCTGACCACTAAGCTACGGGGGCTGTTATCGGATTATTTCTGTGAATTTGGCCAGTCCAATTCGAATTTAAATGGTCCTGGAGTATTGGCTGGGTATAGAATAATGGCTGTGGTGAGTTTTTTGTAAGGCTTGCAATAATGCAACTCAATATAACCTGGGCCTTAAAGTTGCGTTAAGTTATAGAATTCTGGATGAAATTGCGTTATATTACAAAGTTATTAACTTCCTAAGCCTACATACGTACCGCTTAGAAGCCTTTGTTGCATTGCGTTGCGTTAAATTACATTGCGTTATAGTTATTTAAATTAAATTATTGCGAGCTTTGGATTTGTGGTTAGTAGTGATGTAGGTGGCGCAATTGGGTGAGAAAGTACCTATCTGATAAGTTTGGGCTTTGGTGAGATAAGGACTTGGAATATTTAGAATGTCTTGATATTTAGAAAAAGCATTTTACATTACATGTTATGAAATACAAAGATTGCTTGCCAGATGTGATTGTGGCAGTTCGGACGTATTATATAGCACATGTCTCGGAGCTGACAAAGACCAAGAGTCTGGTTCGAATACATCACGCCATTGCCCCTTTTCCGAGGAAAAAGTACACAAAGTTCATCATCAAATTCTTGTCAACTGCCTCACAAAAATGTGACACTATCGGAAGCCACGGCGGCCAAGTGTTACGTCCCAAGCGTAATATCCCCACGTAGGATCGCTGGACGATTCCCGAGGTGCCGGGACACCTCAGCCAATCATTGGGCCAGGGATGGAAAGACCCGCAAGACCCCATGCAACCAATCACAGGATGCTCTGTATAACTCCGGTGCTCCCTGAGAGAACAAGGAGATACACAGAGCAAGGTACAAAGGTACTTCGGAAATGTATGTAGACAGCTTCCTATAAGTAGGGGGAGTGCCGGGCACTCCCCATCCCGAAGAATCTGATTCTTCACGCAAGCAATATTAAGTTCATTTGTCTACAATCTACTTTCGAGTAGCTCTTTGTTAGAACAACCTGTTGTTGACAGTGAACCCCCTTGTCTGAGACGCGTGCCACAACCTTCGATTATCCTGTCAAGCTACTCTTTGGCGTACTGCCTTGCAGTCTGTATCCGAACTCGGTGCAGGTTGTAACACCAAGAGTATCTGGCGGTCTTAAGGAGCATCGGAGTCTCTTTCCCCGATGGTTAACTGTGCTGGAGTTCTTGCGTGCGGCTGCTTACTCGCGTCACTTGGCCTCTGCATTCGTTAGGAGGTACTTTTGTTGGACTGCGCCACTCTTGTCTTTGGTGTTGATTGGATGCAGTTTCCTACACTTATGCAGAGACTATGCATGAGAGCACAATGATATACCACCGAAATGCAAGGTTCTGCAGGTGAAAGAACCTCCATGTTTCAAGACGAGACTATAAATTCTGTATAATTCTCAAAATGAATGAAAACATTTTGTTCTCATCTCCATTATCCCTCTGTACCACTTGGCTCTACATAATCATGAGGCACCCAACTCTTGGTCACTTCTTTGTGACCCTTCTCACACTCGTCACTGCCGTCGGGGCCCTCCCAGAAACCCCCGAATACTTCAAATCTCCCCCCTCAACCCCTCCCACCATCTCCATCCCCAAAATCCAACGTGAACTCGGCCCTCAACTCTCCCTCAACTCTCTCATCTTTGGCCCCTCAGACCCCAGATGGCCCGTCGCAACCCACCGCTACCAACTCACCAATCCCCCAAACATCCAAATAGTAGTCCAACCAGCCCAAGAATCTGACGTTTCCAAAATCATCAAATACTGTAACCGAAACAGCATCCCCTTTATGGTTGTCAACACCGGCCACGGCTTCACTTATACTCTTGGCAAATTCAAGGGCCTTCAAATCGACATGAAACTCTTGACCAAATTCCAAATCTCCTCTGATAAAAAATCTGCCTTTGTTCAAGGAGGCGTCTACGCCTGGGAGGTCATGAGAACCCTAGACAAAGCGGGTTATATCACAGCCACTACATCCTCCAACTGTCCATCAGTGATTGGTCCAGCCCTAGGAGGAGGTCACGGCAGAGTAGAAGGTCTTTACGGTCTCGTCTCCGATAACTTCATCTCTTTAAACGTCGTCCTAGCCGATGGTTCAACCCTCACCGATGTCAGTTCCAAAAACCATCCAGACCTCTTCTGGGCTCTTAAGGGGGCAGGCCACAACTTCGCAGTCATCACTTCCTTCCAAATCAAAATCTATCCTCGTCGATCCAACCTCTGGCATTGGCACAATTACTACTGGACAGCCGATAAACGCGAATTAGTCCTCTCCGAAATGTCCAAACTCCAATTCAACTCTTCCGTTCTACCTCTATTCACCGGCTTCCTCACAATCTCTTACAATTTTACTCATTCATCCACCGAACCTACCCTCTGGTACTCTTTTGTCTGGAACGGTTCCCCCGAAGAAGCAGAAGCAGTTTTAGCACCATTTAACGCCATTCCTGCACTCGATCAATACCAAGGAGACCTCCCGTACCCAGAGATTATGATCCCGCAAGCAGCTCCATTTTTCGTTCCTTGCGGTTCCTTCGGAGCAAACTTTAGTGGTGCAACTGGATTCCTAACAAAAATCAACTTGACTGTCGAGAAGAAAATATACGATTTATTCAAAGCCAAATGTGAGGAAACACCAGAACTTAAACAGAGTGCCAGACTGTTTTACGAAGGATACGCAGATAAAGGGATCAAAGCACTTGATGACAAATCAAGTGCATATCCGCATAGAGAAAGGAATCATTTGGTTTTCTTCATGGCTGTTGCTCCTACGGAAGGATTAAAAGCCGCGGCTGATTCTTTGGGAGAAAAGATATGGAAGTTATGGGATGAGGGTGAAGGTAGAAAGAAATTGGCTGTATATGTGAATTATACTATTGGAAAGGCCTTTGAGACTTTGGAGAGTGTTTATGGGTATGATGGGTGGAGGTTGGAAAAGTTGAAAAAGTTGAAGAGGAGGTATGATCCGGGGAATAAGTTTACTTGGTATGCTCCTTTGGTTTCGAGGGGTTGAGAGTGAAGCATCAGGATGCTTCTTGAAAAGTTTCAAGTTATATTCAAAACCGCTTTTCCGAGGATCCGTCGTTCTTATTCCCACTGGTCATTTATTTATTTATTTTTTTTTTTTTTTTGCGAGATATTTCTATTCGCTTCATTATTACAGGAGAGATTGGGAAGTCATAGCTTCTGTCACACGGCATTCCATGACTGAATCGCTCACAGTGTGCCAGGTCAGCTAACAGGACAACAAGCAGGCCAAGAAGCCTCAGGAGCCTACCAATATAGTAGGGCTCCCATGGGCGGCCAACTCCTGCATGTCCAGGTGCCCGAAGCACTGCATCTTGACGGATGGTTGGTCAGGAAGGTCGGCGACACGGGGTGGATCTGCATGAAGGAAGCAGTAGGACCTCTGAGTCAGAAGACTTGGATTCTTAGCAATCATGACCAAGCCCAAAAGAGGCCTCTGGTCGAGTGAAGGACCCAGGAGACAGTGGAAGCCATGAAGGGCTTCTACAGGTATAAGTAGGCCTTGATCTTCCAGTTCAGATTGTAGGAAGGCAAGGATCTGAGGCCATAACAGATTATTACATTGATTTGAATACAAGCCCTATTCCAAGCCCTTAACTTCAAGCCCTTGTCACAGGTTCCCATGGTGCTACCAGTCACATGGATATCACCACCGCCCGTATTTCACCTTCCTTTTGACTCCTAATGATGCTTATCAAGTACAATTCCTATTCACTGTTAACGGTCTAGTCTTTTTCCACGGACAGAATCTCAGGTACTGGTTTTTTGTTTATCCATGAACTTCTGCGGTGGCAATATAGGCCGGGAAACTGCCAATGACCTGTCCAAGGTTTGTCGAGACCTTGGATTAACGCGTATTGAGGGCTGACATCTCATGTATTATGTGCAGTCGTCCGACCTGTCGAGCCGCCTCAAACGAATACTCGAAAGTCCAGCGCGACCAAAGATTATCAACTATATCGCCTACAATTTAGCATGGGTGAGGGTTCGAGGAAGAGACTGTTTGACGATATGCAAAAGTACAACGACAGACTAAAAAATCTGTTGGAGACAGGAGATGCCATTAGTCAGGCACAAACTAAAAGAGATGCTATTAAACGGGGTACTAGGGCACAGTCTTCCATGTGTGACTTTTGGAAGCATGCCAATCGTCTTTAGCGCCAGCTCCGTCACCATCACTCTTAACCAAGTCGAGTCCACCAAGACCACAATTCAGACGGTTCAGATTTCGCACTCTCAGAGCATAAATCAAATTCTTGCCTGTGCAAGGCCTTTGGGTAATCACCTCTGAACATTCTCCAATCATGTCACGGTTATATACAATGCGAGTCAGACATTGACAAAAGGTACTACCTCTATCCTGTTGAACAAAAAGCAGCCACCTTTGGACCTGTGCCCAATGCAGCCTGCAGCGAGCGAACGGTGACATTGTCCACACTGTTGAATAATGGCCATCGTGGTCTCACTCGTCGTCCGCGATTCTCGCTCGCCGTAACCATCACCTCATCATTCCTCCAGCTGTACGGGAGCCCTGGATCTAATCAGCATGGATCAAGTCGGATGTGATATTCTTCAAAGACTGCACCGACCAAGCAATTCTGACGAGACCTTTTTTTGGTCGAGATTTCCAGGACAAAGCCACACTACCCCAACCATCTTTTGAGAAGCTAATTCTTGGATTTGAATCCCTGGGAATAGTCCTCCTTGAGTTTTGTTTCGGCAAGCCCATTGAGACACACCCTTGGCGTGCCATATTTCCAACTCACACTAGCCCCCAACCGACTGGGATATCTGGGCCCAACATTGACCTTATTGTAGCGAATCAATGGCACAGAGAGGTACTGGAGGAGGCAGGCCCGAGCTATGACGAAGCCGTGGCTTGGTGTCTGATAAATCATAGAAGAACGGCGCCAAATGGGCAGGGCTGGAGGCCGGTGATGCTTGAGAGCGTACTAGAGCCGTTGCGG